CATTTCATTTTGGTGTCCTGCAGTATAGTCCTCAGAACCTTTAGCTACCAATCACATTGGCATGGACCCCATGGTACAGACAAGTCCTCTAGGGCTTTTCGCACAGCAGCCATTTTCCACATATCATTGAGCATGAGAGGAAGGAAGCCCATTCCAGAACAATGCAACAACAAATTCTGCGTGGAAGCCCGAAGGAAACCTGCCAAAGCTGGTGGAACTTTGTAATACTCATGTTAAAGCAACCATGGACTCTGACAATGTTTATGGAAATTGTTGAAATTAGAACTATTCGCCTTCTAAACAAATCTCCATTGAACTCGGGTTAAGGCGGCTTAAGTCTGTCCCCAGAGACCCGGATATTTCTCAAGGCTGTCAAGCACAAGCTGCATATTAATGACACCCCTGCCCTTCCTGTAACAGTCATGCGTCATTGCTGTCTCTGCATGTGTCAGTGGCCAGGGGGAGTGGTAAGAGACGGAGATGCGGGCTTAGCGATTGACTTTTCAGAAAAAAGTCAAAGTTTGCATACAAGTGACAGCACCTTTGGAGAAAGGAGGAGTCGGTTTAAATTTGCTGAGGGCACATACAATGACGTTATCACCATGCTTACATACTGTGAGGTTTGGGGAAGTTAGCACAAATGGTGATGCTTAAGGACCAGTCTCTGAGCCATTTTAACAGGAAAAAGGAAGGTCTTTTTATTTTCCTCCGTAACAGAAAAGAGCGTTACTTCAGCGGTACAACATACAGTGTTCCTGGAAAACAGATCGTCTCACCATTCTCAGGTTGTCCTGTTCAGTGGCTCTCTCAGCCTCTCCAAACCTTCTAGCCTCCCAGGCTGTTCATGTGCCCCCAGCACACACCAAACTTGGCTTGGCCTTAGGGTTGCCACCTGTCCAGGATTCACCCGGACAGTTCGGGCTTTGAATGCTGTGTCCGGGTTTCATGGCAGCAGACAGGGGCAACCAAAATGAAGATAGGGGCTACTGCCCCCCCCCCCCCCCCCCCAAACAAAAAACACAAACATGACAATTACAA